AGCGGGTTCATCGGGAACCCGGGGGTCTTGAAAAGGCCCATGCACGTTCAGCCGAAAAACAAAAATCTTCCAGGCACGTGACAGCTCTTTAGTTACAGCTTTGTGGGTGCGGATGCTGCAGACGGCTGGTGCCGTCGTGAGGGGCTTCAGGAGCCGCGTCCCTTGGGTGCACGGGCGAGCCCTGCAGGAGACGGCGTCTGACTGTAGTGCACGCTCGGTAATGTCCCCCCTACGACTGGGCGGACGAGCCCATGAGCGATCAGGTGACCGAAAGAACTAGGGTCCCGAGTCAAATCTGTAAGGGGCTGAGTTTCGTTTCAAAGTAGGAGCGGCCCGTGTGCTGTCCCCTGGAGGCGCTGTCGCGGCCCGATCGCGGCCTCCTCCATGCGGGGCGAGCTCCGTAGGGCAGCAAGCGTTTCCGAGTCCATTAACAACAAAAATGTTGTTTACAGATGTCATTATGTGCTGAGTGAGAGAAGCCAGTCTGGAAAGGCTGTACCCCGTGCGATCCCAACTGTGTGACATTCTGGAAAAAGCAAAATGGAGACTAAAAACATCATTGGTTGCCAGGTGTCTGCGGGCCGTGATTTTCAGGCCGCGGGAATGCTGTTCGATGCTGCCGTGGTGGGCGCGTGTCATTACACGTTTGTCCAGGCCCACAGAGTGCGCAACGCTGAGTGGACCCGAACGTCACCTCCCGACTCTGGGCGACGATGACGTGGCGATGTGGGTTCATCATTCGCAACAGAAGACTACCTGCTGGGGTGTGACGACGGGCGGCTGAGCGTGGGCGGGGACGGGGACCGTGCTGAGTCTCTGTACCTTACGCTCAGGTGAACCTACAGCTGCCCCCCAAAAAATAAAGTTTTTTTTTGTTTGTTTGTTTGTTTGTTTTTTTAAAGCAACGATGCCCGCCACTGGAAACGTTCTTTATAGAAGTTAAATAACGGTCAGGAAGCTGAGGAGTTTTCATCCATTAATTGGCAGGTTGGGCTAAATGAACATATCTATTTATTCCACGTCGACTCAAAGGTGCATTGGAGAAGGAAAGAATTGTCACAGAAGCGCGCGAGTCCTCAGGACGCGTGTGCTGTCCGTGAACTGAGGACCGTTTACAGCGTTCGCATCTACAGTTTCGAAATCCTCATCCCCTGACATCTTACGTCCCTCTGCTTTGATTGTTTTTTCTTTTTAGCCCTTTCTGTCTCACGCATTATATATATATATATGTTTTTTCACAGTTACCTTGTTTGTTTATCTTCCTTCCGCACAGGAGTTTTTACGAGCGCAGGATTGCCCGTGGCTCGCTCCCGTGCGCCGTCCATGACCGTCTGTGGACCGCATGGCTGTCTGCAGCTAGTCTAGGTCTCGCTACATATGTGCAAACAGTCAATGATCGCGTGCATATCGTGTGATTGAAAACTTTTCTGACTTTTCTAATTACAGAAGGCCTTACGACCGGACATGGGCTATAATACATTAGCCAACTTTCGGATAGAAAAGAAAATTGGTCGCGGGCAATTTAGTGAAGTTTATAGAGCAGCCTGTCTCTTGGATGGAGTACCAGTAGCTTTAAAAAAAGTTCAGGTAAGATGATTTCAATTCTCTACATCACTGTTCCATCGTGCTATGTGAATACTCAGTGGAGAAAAGTATGTCTTGATTGATTGAAAACTAACTGTCATGTGGGGAATTCTGGGAAAGAACGTCAATTGTACTTTAAAAGCTTGAATCGAGGGTAGCGCACAGTAGAAATTAAATTTTAGTTTTACTCGTAGCTCTAGGCTTTATCACTTTAGCTGGCTTTGTCCACCCGCATTCGGGGTTGGCCGGAACGATCCGACACAAGCTTTCACAGCTCTGGGTTTTATGAGGCAGATTGGAATTGTCACCGTTTCTCCTAATTGGACGTGTAGCTGGGTGTCGCACCCTCAGCTGGAGCCCTGCAGCTCTGGGCATCACGACAGGGACGCAGACCCGTGGGATGCGTGGCCTCGGGTCAGTACACAGCCATCAGGTCGGGGTGAGGCGTCCCGCAGTGCAGCGGGTTCGCTGGCACAGGAGGGAAGAGTGGAGCAGGTGGCCTAAGAGGACAGGCGTCCGCCTTGGGACCTCCACGCCGTGTCCTCGCCGTTCCGGGATCCGCTCGCTGTCCCGGCCTCGCTGTCCCGCCCCCCTCGCTCGCTTGTCTCACCCGCTGTGCCACGTGCCCCGCGGGTCCAGAGACGCCAAGGCACTGGCCCGTCAGGAACACGCTGCCTCTCTGTCCCCGCGTATGTTCGACGTCACACAGCGTTGCTGGTCTTTGCGGAGAGGTCTTGTCACCGGGACTCACTTGGGGAACCAGCTACTCGGTTCATTTCCTGGCTTCAGAAAGCTGGGGAGGCACAGGAGGCGCTGGTTGACCTTCCCATGGGTGCCAGATCCGGGTAAAGTGGGGTACACCCTGGCTCTTCGCCTCTTGTAGTGGACGGTTTAAAGTACCGTCTTTGCTGCATTTTAAGTGTTTTTCTTCTAACTAAGTGGCATGTGCCCGTTCAAGGACATTTCTGTTAAGTTACCTGAAGGCGTTTTTTTCCTTTTTTCTCCCTTCGGGCTACCTAGTGTTACCCTGATCAGCCTCAGGAATCGTGAGCGATTTGGGCAAAATTGGAAGATGACAAGAGAAAACCTTTAAAGTGATTCAGAGAATACCAGGAACTTGTCAGCCCGCACCTGCCTGAACACGGCTAATATCTTGGCTCTTACTAAGTATAAAATAGATTTAAAAACTCAAACTTTGGTAGAGTCGAAAAAGATGCCTTCTGAAGACGAGCTGGCAAATATTTAATGAAAACTATTTTTAGAAAAATCCCGATTCTCCTGTATGTGTTGCCTTTCTTGCTCATGAAATCGCACGGCTTTGACTCTGGGAATGACTTTTTCTAAAGGTTCATTTTCTTTTTTGTCTGGACTTGCTGGCTAAGAGAAAAAGAGAGAGAAGACACTTCCGAATTTCCAATTAAACGCATTAATAAATGTATTTGGTTCAGAATTTAGTTCTGCCTTAAATGTGCCAGCAGTGCTTATTTCTCTCAGTGTTTGAGGAGTGGCTTTTGATATTATCGAGGATCCACTTAAAAATAAAAAATGTGTAGTTCTAAATTAGTATACTTATAAATCGAATTAAAGGTTCACTGTTTGTACGTGGCACGCTTCTGTCTGTCTTGGTGTTTTGTGTCTACTTAGGGTCTCCTGTGTACTTAGGGTTCCACACGCATCTCATCTCGCTCACTCTTTCGTTTTAAATTTTTTTTTTTTCATCATAGACACATCGATTACTGGCAGATTAGATTTATACATGTCTCCAGCTTTGTGATTTTCTTAATCGCTAGTACCAGAATTATCCTTTCTTCCTCTCCCGAAAAAATAAAATAATGTTTTCAGGAATCCCTTCAAGGTCTAAGACATTGAAAGTTTTGTACTTCCTTACTTTTCTTTGAGTTATCACAAGTGCCTTCTGGCTGGTACTTTCCGAGAATGGCATCGGCCTTCGTGATTTGGCAAGACTCAGTGATTTCTCTTTTCATTGTGATTTGTAAGTGTAAGTAGTCTGGGTGTATGTCATTTCTGTAACGGCAAGTCCAAAATTTTGTTTACATTAATATTTGTCGTTATTATTTATCGTGTCTCATAGGAACAGCATCCTTTTTCTGGCATCATTTGGGGACTTTGGGGAAGCAGTGGCTTTTCTGTGTGCGAGTGCTGAGTGTGAAGCTGAGCGTGAGCTGTGTCACGCACTGCTCGTCACGCGGCTTTCAGACGGGTCGCTGTTCCCGTTGCCTTTCACTCCTGCAGTGAGTGTCCCCTTATAGCGAATGCACTCTCTCATCTCCCCAAAGTTCAGTACCTTCGAGGGCTTGGTGTTTGCAGAACAGTTTCCTCCTGGGTGTTTTATGTAAACTTTGGGACTGCGATTTGCCACTCAGAGACCTTTCTTGTCTCCCTCCTCCTTTCCTTTTCGTTCCATTCCGTTCTGTCCCGTTCCGAGATCCTGGCGGTTAACACAGGTCCGCTGGGGCTGAGGTGCTTAGAGTCGCCGCCGACGGGGGAGAGAACAGCTACTGTTTCTGACACACGCACGGCCACACACACGTCCTTCTCTGTCACGTGAACGAAGGGGAGGAACTTCGACGCCATCGATTTCTCTCTTTTCGTAAACCATCAGCTGGGATAAGGGTCTATATTTTCTCAAATCTTAACAATGGGTAATCAGGGGGATCGTTTCAGAAACCACATAAATGTCTAACCAGTGTACTGTACACTTGAAACTAATAAAAAACATCTTAACAGTACCCAGCGCTCAGCTGTTTCACATTAAAACCTGAGCAGCGTAGACTCGATATTGGCAGTTTTCGTTAGAAACAGCACGATCGGAATGGAGGTGAAGACCATGGAAGCGGAGAGAGGATGAGCTGCAGTGTGAGGTGCAAGGCGGTGCCTTTGCCATGCTGCTGCTTTCGCTCTGCGGGACACGTTTGTGCGACACGTGGACGGCAGTGCGCGAGAGCCACAGTCGTTTAAGGAGGCGAGTTTACGGATCTCATTCCGGTTTTTAAATTTTGTTTTCTTCGTGTTTTAAAAAGTGAAGGAAATATGAGAGCCACGTGCATATTTGGGCATTAGTTGCCTGTTACAGAGCAAAGGTCGCCTCTCGCAAGCTGTCACGAAGCCCCATGTCGTGGCTCACTTTCCGCTGTGGACGCCCGCTGTGCCTGCCCGCAGAGCCCTGTCGTCTCTCGGGTCCAGCTGCAGCGTCACACCGCCCGCTTGGGGACCCCTGTCAGCTTCTGGCACCACACTTCACACACACGTCTTTCCGAGCTCACTGGTTAGGTGTGTGCGTGTCAGACTTCACGGCCGCCGGGGCCCATGGGGAAGACAGAGACAGACTGGGCCGGAACGCCCTGGGCCCACGCCCGGCGCGGCCACTTCTTGTGTCCGTCATTCGCAGGTGTCTGTCGTCCGCAGGTGTCTCGCCTCCGGGAGCCCCTGCCCTTACCTGGGGGTGGGAGCCGTCAGGACCACCAGAGCTGGGCGCCCCGACACCCCTCGAGGTCACGGGCCTGGTGGCGCCCCTCCCGCCCTGTCTGGCGCACCCCTGCTTTTCCTGGGGCACGCTGGCGTCCGAGGCAGGAGGGCTGGGCCGGGCCATGGTGGCTGAGTGTCGTGGCTGGGCCGGGCCGTGGTGGCTGAGTGTCGTGGCTGGGTTCTGACCAGCCCGTGGCGCTGGCTTGTGCGGACGCAGCGTTCAGGGTGCCGCTCGTGTGGCCTGTTTCGCACACACTAGGACATCTGGGGAGCTCTTTGTTTTCGGAGACCTGGTAAATGCCCCTCGGTCGTATTACTTGTTTTCCTTTTTTTCACGTTAGACTAATAATTCTCAATCTTTTCTTCATCTTTCAAGGAGTCTTTTCAGACACTTTTTTCCTAACTACTCCTCCCCCCCATGAAGTTTTAATTTTATAAATATATCTGTTTACGTGTTGTATGCATATTGTGCTTTATACTTAACGAGAGTAAGATTTTGTCACCCCCCCTTTCCGAAGTACCAGCCTTCACCATCTTGGAGTCATTTCCCCTCCCTCAAGGACGCAGGATTAGACTTGGACCTGGTTTGATCGTGCAGATTATGGTCGAGAGGTCGGATCAGAGAATGAATTCTGGCTGTTCCCTTATTTAGCTGTGTGAACTGTCAATTTCTTAAGCTTTCTAAACCACTTTTCTTCATCTGTAAAATAAGAATATAATGTCATCGTCCCTATAAGGATCAAACGAGAATTGAACGAGATAGTTCGTGCAGTATGTTGATACATGTTAATTGTTCAGTATAGTAACTATTATTTTATCGTATTAATGATTGCAACTCCCATCCTGTTCCATTTGAACCTAAGACGTGAAAGATCTAGCTGTTCTCTTTTCTTGTTTAAATACTGACTGCCTTTTGAGGGCAAAGACGAGCACTAACCGTAACATGAACTAAAGTATCTACAGCTCTCTGTAGCTCCCAAAAGCTAATCGGAAAGAAAGTCTGTTAGTGGGTGTATAATTTAATACAAACGATCTTAATGAATTTACATGGTAGCTTGAACTATAGATTATTATTTTATTAAATAATTCTGGATTCTGTTTTTAGATATTTGATTTAATGGATGCCAAAGCCCGTGCCGATTGTATCAAAGAAATAGATCTCCTTAAGGTAAATAACCAGACACTGTTGACTACATTTCGAACATAATGGAATATGTTGTTAAAAAAGACTTATTCAAATATTGTACTTACGAATGAAAAGATGTTTAAGACAGCTTATGCCATTCTGATTTCAACTGACTGTAAGTTTGAATCTGAGCATGTTGAAAAATATAATTACCTTCGTGTTCATTGTAAATAACGTAATTGGAACAGTCGGTAGGATTAGCTTTTGTCCCCCCTTCCCCCCTCCCCCATTTCTAACTAGGAAATAGACAAAATAGGCATAAAACACAGAAGAAATTTTTCCTGGTCTTCCTTGTCAGACATACTCCTGAAGGTTAAGCGACGCACACCTTGTTTGTGTTCTCAGGTGCGGTAGCAGAGTGCGGACTGTGCAAACGGCCCCCACGCTTTCTGTGCTATCTCTTATCTCTGTACCTTTTCTCCAGTTTCAGACAGGGTGACGTGACGTATGTGTCAGAATTAGTTTTCCAGTTTCTCATCCACTCAAAGCGATAACTGTAGTCAGTTTCTCCCACGCTGCCTTTACTCTCGCAGAACGTCCTCCGCGGGCTGCTGCGGCTTATGTCGCAGTTTAAACTGTTAGGAAAGACTCGGGTCTCTATGCCATCCAGTTTCGTTTCTGCATAAAGCGATTCCGACTGACCCGAAAAGATGAGAGTGAGCTCAAAGCGAACCGTGTTTTTAAATTATTCTGTTAGCGATAGTTACTTCCTGGGACATGAAGTAGCGACTTTAAAAATGTATATAAACTTTTTGAGGAAAAGGTTTTAAGTAGAAAGAGGAGAGGAAACGCATGTATGTGCTCTCTGGGACCATTCTTGAATACTTTTTTTTGGTGAGAAACTATTTGTCATAGATTAACTTGTTTAAAGGTTGAACAAAAGATTGTACAAAAAGATCATAAATGTGTATAGACTGATTCATATATTTCTACACGGTGAAATTTTTCTTAGGGCGATTTTATGAATCAATCCCTTAGATAACTTAAGTGTATTTATTTCATTTGACTTAAAAGCAATATTTAGGTACAATATAATGGATGCCAGTTTTGCTCTGTTTTCTTTTTCAACCACTGGCTGTAGTTATATCAGGATCAGCCCCACTTCAAAATGAGAATAGAAAGGAAAACTTATTTGCCGTCGAGTGTCCCGAAATGACAGTTCTCATTTTGAAAGATGTAATTTTTAGCAAGTGATCATTTATGTGCACATACATGTTCATTATACTAGCGATACTTTAAAAAAATTTTTCATTGCATAATTTATTCTATTATTTCTAATAAAGAATATTAAAATAAAATGAATCGATATCTTATTTTACTTTTAACAATTACGATACTCGTTTCAAAATTCACTAGATTAAAGAAAAATGTACTGTCATGTTAAGATTTCTGTAACTTCAAAACGAAATTCAGTAACTGAGTTTATTCTTAAGTTACAAAACTGTAAGTGACTCTTGGGAATTTACAATAAGAAAATTTTTCCATGTTTTCTTTTTTCCTTAGCAACTCAACCATCCAAATGTCATTAAATATTATGCGTCGTTCATTGAAGATAATGAGCTAAACATCGTTTTGGAATTAGCAGATGCTGGCGATCTCTCCAGAATGATAAAGGTAAGGTCAAAAAAAAAAGAAAAAACCCCCCAAAAAACCCCCAAAGACTTATTGTTTCCAGTGGCGCTGTCTGGTAAGCATTTAGGTGTGTCACACACATACTTTAAGGACCTCGGCGCGGTGCCCGGCCTGTGGCGTGGCAGTGGCAGGCAGCGGTGACAGTGAAGCTGGCCCACCTGGCAGAGTCCACACTGGCCAGCGTGGACGCGCGCGCGCTCAGCACCGGCGTGGAAGCACGCCGCGAGACCCGTCCTCTGTGAGCTAAAGTTAGTTTCGCAGCTGGATTCCCTGCGCAGACCACCCTCGTCCTGCGTCTCCCGATGTCAGGCAAAGGGGCAGAAGGGGACTCTAGAGTGGCCCGGCCTGCTTCGGGGGCCACTGAGGAAGAAGAGAGGCTTTGCGCTCGGCCCGTGCACATCAGACCCTGATCCGTCCACTGAAGCTACTTAGCTTGCTTTTCCGAAGGCATGTTAACTGGGTTCAAGTTCAGCTACAAGTTATAGAAACCCCCAAATAACAGCAGCCTAAAAGCTGCTGTCCCTGGGCAGGTTACTTCTGTGTGCCATTTTTTTTTTTCCTCAAAATCAGAATAACAGTAGAACCTACTTCTCTGGTTCGTTGTTTTAAATGATTAGTTACCTGACGTTTATTCAGAGCTTAGAATGGTGCCTCACGCATGGTAAGTATGTGTATAAGTGGAAGTTACTGCTGTGTTATTGTTATTATTTATGTCTTTGTTACATCAAATTCTGGGGCTAATGTGGCCATTCTGATCTACCAGATTCCCGGAGACCAGGCCTGGGGGCTGGCGACCCGGAGGAGTGGTGGGGGCTGACTAGAAGTGGCTAGAGAGTCATATGTCGCTTTGTGCGTCAGGTCCTGGCCACGGGAGGCCGACCGTTGTCCAGGTCATCGCTTAGCTTCCTGGGTTGTCACTAGGGGTGGCAGGCTGGCTTCCCACAGTCTGGCCCCGTGGGTGGTTCCAGGTAGATAAAAGGTCGGCGTTCCGGTCAGGCCGCTGGAGGTTGTGGTTCAGAGATCTGTTTTCGTATGTGGCGCGGCCGCTGTCTGTACAGTTGGTCGCTCAGCAGGTCCTGGGCACAGTGAGTAATCTCTGCCACGTGGAGTCATCGGGAGGCGCATTTAAAACAGTATTGGCCGCTTCGTAGCATTATCTGTTGGTCCGCACGGGATCCTGGGGGACAGAGTGACAGCCGGAGGAGTGTCATTGCTGGGAAACGGGAGAACCGGCTTTGCAATGAGCTTTGGCTGATGGAAAAATCCATGCGTTTCCCTTAAGTTGCCCTTAAAGATTTTTGTGTCACTGAACTCCTGAGGAAATGGGATGAAGACCCTCGACCTTCTCACCAGCAAAAACGCGGCCGCACACCCAGTTCGCATTTCATTACAAAGCCCTCGCTGCTGTTCTGAGCCCGGTGCTGGCAGATTCTCCAGCGGAGTTACGGACCCGTCCTCCAGGGTCGGCCACTGAACTCGTTTCCCCACCTGTCACGTGAGACGGAGAGTTCTGAGTTTGCTTTCTGAATTAGAAAAGCACTACCCGTTCCGATGTTCTCATTACCGCAGAATGCTAGCAAGCCCACCGTTTAAAGTCCCACCGTCAGTGACTCACTTCTGATCGGTGGTATCTGATTTTCTGTTTTAGGAACTTCCTACCACTAGCACAGACAGCTAACCACTAACAAACTCTGTCTTTGCAAATTAAGGAACAATAAAAAAGTTATTGTCTTAATTTTAAACAATATTCAAATACACCAATGCAAAATCTCACAAAACAGCTGTGTATCGAGAGGAGACACATGAAAGCAAACGCAGCTAGACCTTTCGAGAGAGACAGCTGAGGTTCCACTCTGTGCTTCAACCTTTAAGAGCAAGAATGATTTAATTCCAGTGGGAAGGAAGGGGGGCCGGTCCTCATCGGGCAAATAGGGGCTGAGGGGAGAGAAAAGAAACGTCATTTCAGCGGCGGAGCCTCGCGCCCCACGGAGAGCCTGAGGCTTTGGGCTGTGATCGTCCCCGGTGCTCTGCCCTCGTCCAGCAGGTTCTCTGCTCCTCTTCCACGCACACGGTGAGCCGGTGCCGTTCACCTTGGAAGGACACTCCTGTCCCTTCGCCACCGGGGGAAACTAGGGCACGGCCACAGTGCCTGATGGAAGCCCGGCCGCCTCCATCTTCGGCACATCCACCCATTTCACGGTGGTGACAAAGGGAAAGCGTGTCATGGGACCTGATACTCAGTGTGATGAAGAGCTCGGCTCCCGATTTAAGTGGCTCTCACCGTCAGTACAAATCACCCAGGAACTTCCCGTCTGCAGACCCAGTAGATACCATGAGACAGATCAGAACTGCAGAATTCTTTGTGGCCACGAGTAGCGACCACTCCCGCAGAATTGCTGAGCTCCGAAAGCACCCTCGGGGCGTGTGACACAAATCCGGAGGCATCTGTCCTGTGCCAGACGATTAGGGAAGCCTTTTAAAGAATGACCTATGCGGACTGGTCCCTAATGCGTCCCAGGCTGGCGGGGGCATCTTAGCCTCCCAGGGGAGAGGGGCGGGACCTTGAAGCGGCCTCCGTGGAGGGTTGGCCGTGTTGTTCCCGCCTCTGAGGTGCCATCACGTTGTGTCGCGGCAGCAGACGCCTGGGCCGGGTTGTGCGGACCCCCTGAGAGGTCAGCTGCAGGTGGAGGTGGCATGGTCACAGCCCTCGACGCCCTGGTGTGTCCGCACACTGGCCCAGCGGAGTTTCACCAAGCCGCACCCCCCACGGAGCACCCCCCGTCCTCCAGTGTGCGTGGGTGTCCTCTGCAGAGCGACACCGTAGGCCTGAGCAGGAACGATCACTCAGGGACTCGGCTCCGACCGCGTGCGCTCCCGGTCCCCGCTCAGACCGAATCCGCCCTTGGCTGATGGATGGTTTCAGCGGTGCACGTGGCTGTGGCTTTTCCCTTTCCCTCCACTGGCTCAGCAAACCTGCTGTGTACCCCACTTATCTTCCCGGTATAAAAGGAAGGAATTTGACTCAAGTCAGCCCGGCGTTAATTTTATTTCCTTTTAGACGTAAAGCGCAGCCCGTCCCGTGGGCATTAGTTTTTTCACGGGGTGAGGAGCCTCGCCTCCCGGGGCTCACCACCAGCTCGCCACTATGACCTGGATAGACACGGGAAACCCCCCCCCCATCGCTTTGCATTCGTACAGAGAGAGCGCCGGCACGCAACCTGTTTATGTCAACACGGCAACATCGTACACGCTCAGGTAGGGGGTCACCTAGGCTTCTGCAGGGTTGTTGAGTAATAGGACATGGTACTGGAAATCATCACAGATAGGGCATATTACTCTGTAAAATAGTTATGGCGATTTGTAGCTTTTAAAAACAGCTCTTGAATCGATTTGTTTATTGGATGTTTACTGTATGCCAGATACATGGCTTGTGCCTACTTGGAAGTCACTGTCAGGGCGGAGACGGGCTTTGGGCTACCGCCCTCAGAGAACGGTGTAAGTGCAGCTGTGGCGAGTGTGGAAAGGCGGAGTCGGCGTGGAACAAGTTGTAACAGGACGGCCGAATCCGACTGGGCTTCTGATGGCAAGGGAGGGATCTGAAGCCGAGGTGCTGTGTGACCTTGATTCATTATTTAATCTTTAATGATTAAAGGAGCTGCAGTTGCCCTAGCTATGCCATTGGGCTAATAAAACCCGTCTTAAGTGTTATTATGAGGGCTAAATAATACATTCGTATGTGTCTATATTTTTATAGACACATACAAACATATGCACATACATACTTAATTATCTGTGCCTCTCCAAATCCGTGGCATCAATCCGATAAGTCTGTAGATTTTTTTCATTCCATTTAAACCTCCGATTCATGACTTCCCCCTTCCCCATGCTCTCCTGCTCCGGGCGTTGGGTGTCCCTGTGCGTTCCCTCTGCCTGGAGTCCCGCCCCCCCGCCACCATGAGTTTTGTCTATTACTCTTCAGTCTCCATTCACACGTCACTTTCTCAAGCGTGTTGCCTTTGACCCTTGTACCGTTTGAGGCTCTTAATACTTTTCTTTCATACCACTCAGGAACACAGCCGGTTAGGAAAAGGATCATATTTTTACGTGTGATTTTTTTATCGATGTCTGTATTTCTCGTTCGACTTAACGCTCTGTCGAGTACAGGGACCGCGTCTGCTTCGCTCGCCAGGCTGCCTCCAGTTTCTAGGGAGGTTCCTGGCCGATAACATTAACTCAGTAAATATGTGGTGATTGTACGTGTAGAAGTTGATGGTTTTACCTCTGTTACATGTCTCTGTCCCAGGGGCCAGGAGGGGAGCATGGGTGGTGTATAATGACCAGCAGCTTCCTGCTGTTTCACACTCCGCTCGCACGGGGGTTGCTAAGATACCGAGTGGTGAGCTGGTGGGAGAGATGACAGCATTCTAACACGAGAAGGGTTTTCTGTTTGGCCCTGAGAAATTCTGTAATTGTTTTCTAAACTCTCTTATTCGTGCTAAGACTGCACAGGACAAACTCCCAGGGACTTCTTTTATGAAGGAGCGTGACGGCGACTTCATGCTTTGTCAGGGACAGCAGCAGATAAACTTGAGTCATAAGGAACGGGATTCGTTTCTTTCTAGTGAATAACGCTGTAAATCATTGTACATCACAACATTGTATTTCACTGTCTCGAATCTTCAGCTTAATTGGGGTGGCAGAGGAAATATGGCTCCTGGTCTGTATTCCAGAAATGAACCCCGGGACAGCGTCGCATCAAAGATTTTTACAAGTAAATAATTAATTGGTTTAGAGCAGGCTGACAAATGTAATTAAGCAATTTATAGTTGAAATATTCAGTATTTCTCTAATTAGTGACAAAGGAGTACCTGAGGCTGTGGTCAGATGAAGCACTTCCCAGATGAGATTTAGGATAAAAGGAAACCCAGAATTCCTCATCATCCATTTCTTTATCATCAGTAATCAGAATTGTAAAGGAAAAT